GAGATGAAGATGAGTGAGTAGCTTCGGTGACGTGATAACGCCGGATTTTTTGTCTTCCTTGGCACTGTAAAATACGGGACGTTGGTTCTTCCGATCTCTTGAGCCGTAACAGTTTTGACAGAATACCTTTAGCTTAGGGGGGGGCATGATAAAGAACAAAGCAAAGTTCCAAGCAGAGGATGAGTTTTTCCATGCTTTGGAAGTAAAATTATGCTTGTTTTCGGAAACATGTTCTGAATATATGAAGTTGAGCGGGAATTTTCTAAACTATTATCCAATSACGAAAGACTAAGGGTTGACCCTGAAACTTCGATGGTGTCAACCGCGTGAAACGCGCAGTACCATAGATCCGGTTTGTGTGACGCAGCACCATACCTCAAGCATCTCTTCCAAGGCTTATTGCTGGTTCCAAATTCCAACCATCCAACGAAAACCCAATGGCCCACTCCAGTGGTAGAAAGTGCACAAGTCAAATTTTTCAATTCTTGCAAGGTTGCTGGTCAAGATCTATCTTCCTGTGCAACCCGCTTCAGCCCCACCATCTGAGCATGCTTTCACCAGTCAAGCTTCCAGACTTCTCTCAGCAAGGCACTGTTGCTTGGATCCAGAGTATGCAGAAAAGCATTCTCTGTTTCTAAACACTGGTGGGAGTGATGGTGGTTTGGCAAGCAGGTGAATTTGGCAGAGGTTGCTGAGGTGGCTGAAGCAGATGGTGGTGAGGATGCTTGTGATGAACAAAAGTCCAAGAAGAGGAACAAAGGCTTTATTTTTCAAGAGTTAAGAAGTTCTTTTTTTATGATGTCAAATCTTTCATCTGTGTCATCGATTGGATACACATCCTACTACTAGCAGTTGGTGCTGGTCAATAAGTAGTAGTACTAGTACTACTAGTACAAGTAAATAATGATGTTTCCTACCAAACTGTTGATGTCACAGCTTTCCAATAGTGATTTAGCATTGGAAACATTTCCAATTTTTACTGATGCTATTTGTGTCTGTAATTGGATACATATCATAGTTGATAAATTAATAGTAATAGTACATAGTGATGTATGAACTGTTGTCACAGCTTTCTAGTAGTAATAAAATAAGACACAGTATGAACTACGTTATTGTGGTCAAACATAAAAAAGGCACCCGATGTGGGGATTGAACCCACGACCACACGGTTAAAAGCCGAGCGCTCTTCCAACTGAGCTAACCGGGTTTCGTGTCGTTGTGAGCCAAAAACTTGATTATAAACCACATATCTAATCAACCGGGTTCATACCAAGGAAAGTTTAGAAATACACCAGTAAATTTATCCATCATTGATAGCAAAGAACGCAACTACTGCTGTAACCACAACAAAACCGATTGAGACACTATTACTCGTACTAGCTTCTCCTACAAGTACGCGCAATAGTAGTATGGGAGGGACCAAATGGAGTTGGTGGGGACGGTGGGAATCGATGGAGTGGGGCTGATACTCCTTCTAGTATTTCGTACAGTGCTATCTAGATCGTGGCATGGCCGGTGGAGGACTTCCAAAAGCCTCCCTTTGGCGTTCGGGAAGGCCGGAGCCCCGTTGGCCGTGGACTATTGGATTCGTGCCGCCGGAGGGAGGGCACTGCAGGCACACGTTTCGGTTCGCAAAAAGGCACAACTATGGCGAAAAAGTATATACTACTACTAGGTATTTCGACGTTATCCGAACAGCGTGACGGCCTCGTGGAGGTACGTTCGTGGTGTTTCTCGCCACGTGAACAAGCAGCAAAACCTCTTTCTTTGGTCGCACAATGCCAGCGTGTATGGCGGCACCGATTGGTGAATTGTATGTTTGTTTGTTTCGTTTGTTTGTTTGTTTGCTTGGGTCTTTCTTTTTCTGCGTTGGCATTATTGCCGTGCGTTGGTCCAGCCCCACTCGATGGTTTCCGGTGGGTACATTGTGTTGACAAAACTCTCGCGTGTCATGGATCGAGAAAGGTAGGCGTGCACGGTCGGAAACTCGCTTTCCAGGTCTGGCTTTCCGTGCTCCTTGAAGGTGTCGATGCCGACCTTCAGGTGGTACAACTGGGGGACCAGGCGACAGTCGAGGATTCCAAAGGACGTGGAGGTCCCGTCGAGGTTGCAGTCTTCGCCGCCGGCGTTTCCCAGGTGCTCCTCGAGGGCTCCGAGTTTTTCCCGGAGGGCCGCCAGTGGTTCGCACGAAAGCTCTGCCTCGGCGTCGCTCTCTTTGTCCTTGAGGTACCCCGCCACGGCCGGGAAAAAGCCGTCCATGGCGTCCTCGGCGTCCTTCAGGGCGGCCTTGTGGTCGGCATCGCTTTCGCCGGAGGGGAAGAAATAGTCGAGGTAGGCAGCGATCACATTCGACTCGACATAGGCTTCCTTCTTGTGCCTCAGGCAGGGCATTTTCCCCTCGTAGTATTCGAGCAACCAGCCGGGCTTGTCGTCGTTGGACGCGCAGGGTTGGACGGTGTAGGGGAGGTTCTTTTCTTCGAGGATCATTCGGATGTAGTGAGCGAACGGGCAGTCTCCGACGCTGGTCCCATCTTCGGCGGCTTTGAGGTACAGAGTCATTCCACCCTCTATTTGTTGTGTGTATTCGTCGTCGTCGTCGTCGTCGTTGTGTGTTGGTGGGTTCCGAATGCGGAGAAAGAAGCAAGAACACAGGAATAAGATGGTGCACGAAAAGGGTTCGATCCAGCGAACGAACGAACAAGCCGAAACGCACGGGCAAACAAAGAACAAAAGGAAAACAGCGCGGGCTCGCCAAAGAAAACGATGGGGTGCCACGGGAGGGAAGTGTGCGACAGATACAAGGCAATGCACGGCTTTGCACCGCGTTTGGTTACGTACCCGTAGGGGTAGCCCCTTCCCTTCGCTGTTCGAGGCCACGCCTTCGAACCCCCCCGGCCATCGACAGGGCGGTCTTGGAGGAAAGGCCGCTGTTGCTGCTTGCGATCGTCGTGCCCCTTGGTTCCGCTCCATTCGCCAGAGGCGTAGGCGAGAAGGACTGGACGAAGGCCATCGAATGGGAGTCGTGGCTGCTGCTGCTGCACAGGACCGCCCAGCAGAGAGCGGTCGCCTTGATTGCGGCCGCGAAAAGGGTGCTTGTCGTCCTTGTCCTAGTGATCATGGCGATTGGTGACGGAATGTATTGTATTGTGTAGTATTGTGTTGTGCGAAAAGAAGGTACGGATTGTCGTGTTCCGTTCGAAGATTTGGTTCGGTGAATTCCGATGCGATGCGATGGGATGCGGTGCGATGCAATGGATTTCGGTCGATAGGATGCAACCGGAAATTGCTGTCGCAGAAGAAGAATGCCGACCGCAGGAATGTACTTCTACTTTACTTCGTAATGCTCAGGTAACCTTTTCTTCAATGTGCTGCAATGTGCTGTAGTCTTTGTTTGCCGATAAATTGCCGATCGATGCGTCGAGATCGATGTGTTCTCAAGGGGTTTCGTAGAGTACTGGTACCGTACTTGTTTTCCTTCCATTCTCTGTAAGTGGTTACGGTTTGTGTTGTGCTTCCTCACCGCATCACTCACTTCCAGCTCCAAAAAGAATTTTCGTGCCTCTACTAGTGATGCATGTGTTCCAGTTCAGTCAGTTTTGGTTGGGATGAATGATGGGTTCTGTTGATGTGCGTTTTTGGGGTCTAGGATGGTCCGTAGAATTTTGGGCGGATGCCGGTGTTGACGAGTGACGGCCAGGCGAAAATGTCAGAACATACAAAATCACAGTCTGTGTGTCTGTGCTGTGTACTGGTATGTATGTATGTATGTATGTATGTATGTATGTATGTATGTATGTATGTATGTATGTATGTATGTATGTATGTATGTATGTATGTATGTATGT